CGCTAGCTCCACATACTTTTATTTGAATGGAAAACTCTTGTTATTTTTAATATCATTCTATCACATATATATAAGAAAAATACCCTGACACCTTTCTATAGTGTCACGAGTGTTTGTATATAGGTGGTTTTGAAGCCTTCTTCCTCCTGTTTTGGAAGATATGGTAATTTTGTGTTTAAAAGTTTCTTTTGCCTCATCCTTCCTTTCTTTTGATTTTTATTCATGCCATATTCCTTAATTCACTGTACATTGGTTTTAGTGTAAGTGTTCAGATATAAGCAGTTAGTTAAAGATTTCATTATCTGCTTTTAAGGCGCTTGATAAGATTGCATGTGCCTGGGAGATCAAGTGAAGATTCTTTTTCACTTTTTCACTAAAGCATTTTGGGAAAGTTTTATACACACTTCTATTCTAATAAAATAGGTTTATCTTCAATTATTCAGAATAATATACACAAGGACTAAACAGAGAGAAAAGGTTAAGGAACAACAAAAAACATGGCCTCGTTAACGTCTATTTTTTTCCGCCCAGTAACATTCATCATCCTAATCCTCTTTCTGCTGACCATTTTCGACTGCTCGGTTCTTGTGCCGACTATTCATGCCACGATGCCGAAGATCAGCAAAATCTTATCTCACGAGGGAAAGACCTTTAATTGCGAAATTTGCGGTGCGGTTCTTGAGGGTATTGATGTTGCGCGACATATGTACTCGAAACCGATGGATAGACATGCGAATGTTTGCAATTCATCTTCCTCATGCTCTCAAATTCGGACTTCTAATGATCTACATCAATCGTTTTATTTCAATGAGAGGGGAAATATTAGAGTGCTACCGCCTGAGATGCATAGATACTGTCAAAACATTTTAGAAGGGACCCTCAACATATTTGAGATGAACAATAATAAGAATGATCTTATTGCCTCTTTTATTTTGGAACATAAGCACTTTCTTTGCCATTATATTTCTATTCATACGGATCCTAAAAATTATGGCTATTCAAGGGGTCTATTGGGAGAATCAACACAAAATACGTCCAGTCCGTTGCCAAACGAAAAGGATAAAAACATCTGCTTTCAGTTCCCGGAGCTCTCGCAGGTTAGCAGATCCTCCCTCTCGATTCCGTTATATACATACACTTGGTTCCTGCGCTACCCTCTTAATGAATTACATCAGCAATATTGTTATCAATTCTGCGAAGCCACGCTCAATCTAAAGGAGCGCATGCAGTTGGTTTTATGGAGACACTTTGTTATCTATAATGTACACCAGTTTCTATATGCATGCCGGTATGTGTATCCCTGGTTGATTCGGACCATTGCTATACTAGTGTTTCTCTTCTCTCAGGCTCTTCATAAGGAAATCCCTATGGGCGTATATCCACAGAAGTCAAAAGATTGGGATACTTCACAGTCTGGGCCCAAGGATGGCGCGGCACGTGCCGATCGAAATGGAATTTCAATAAAAGGATCTAACGTTTTCGATCATTCTAATGGAAATCCGGGAGGCGGTACTAACTTATCTTATCCTTTAGACACCTACTACTCGACTCGGTCGGGACAGACTTCGAAGCGAAAGAAAAGATGAACATCCTCCTTACATCGAAGGAGTTTTTTTCTGCGAATTGAAAACTAGTAGATATGTCTCGTTTAGTCTGGTCTATGCTTTTGTGTGTATATATTGCTATGATGGATTGTTTTAAGATAAATCACACTTTGAGATTCAATCAAAGTTAAGCTACGCATCGCTACAATGATATTTGTGAACCTAATATGAGAAACTTGACTCAAACATACAAATAGTTGTAGGGGTGTAAAGACTGCAAGTGTTTTTGACGAAAATTGCTTTTTCCTTTTTTGTATCCCTTATTAAACTTTAATTATACAAACACTCTAGTGTTTGATGTTCACAATTTTGTTGTTGCTTATTTTCCTAAGAAATCTCATTTGGTATAATGTTACTTAAAAAAATCGCAATTCAATTTAACGTTCAGTTGTGCCTATTTGCGAAAAAATGTAAACCCTGTCCGAAGTGTCCCTATTTTCCCAATCCCTGATCCAATTTCCCACTACGGTAATCCCTAACGTCGCGGTCGATTGACCTGCTTTATCCATCCACCTTTCCTATTCTCTAACAAGCTACCCCTTTACACCCCTGCATGCACCGCCTGTGACAGGCCTGCACCCTTCTCTTTCTCTTTCTCTTTCTCTATTCTTTAGTGTGTCTGTGACCCCCCTTTCTTGGCTGTCCTGTTGCAGCCATGGCTACCGTGCATGTCTTCGTCGGGCAGTGTGGCAACCAGCTCGGCCCGACCTTCCTCGACGTCTTGGCCACGGAGGCCCAGGCCAGCGGCGAGGAGGAATTCCAGGCGCGGGTCTCCGCCGAGCACTTCCGGCGCGGCCGCG